CAGGAAGATACTTATGAAAACTATGAGAGTTGACCAGTCCTACCAATCATTAAAATACTATATGAAATATTAAATGAAAATATTGTAGAATTGGCATATAAATAGACAAATAGAGGAAAAGAATGGAAAGTACAGAAATAACCAGGTGTGGTGGCACATGCTGGCAATTTCAGACTCCGGAGGCTGGGACAGAATTGCAAGTTCAAGATCAGCCTTAGCCACTTAGTGAGACCTTGTCTCAATATAAAAAATAAAAAGGACTAGGAATGTGGCTCAGTGGTTAAGTGCCCCTTGGTTAAATCCCCACTACCCCCACCTCAAAAAAAAAAAGTACAGGATTAGACCCAAATTTATATGGACAGATGACAAATCATTAGGAAAAAAAGTAGACTTTTTCTTTTTTTCTCTTATTGTGGTAATATATGCACGACATAGTATTCATCCTTTTAACCATTTCTAAGTGTATAATTCCATGGCATTGAAAACATTTTTAATGTTTGTACCTATCACCACTGTTTATACTCAAAATGTTTTTTGCATTCCCAACATAATTTCTGTACCCAGTAAACAGTCTCCCCTTGTCTTATTCCCTCCTGCCCCTGGTAATCTCTATTCTTCTTTCTCTCTCTGATTTTGGCTACTCTAGGGACTTAACATAAGTGGAATCATATAATATATGTCTTTTTGTGTCTGGCTTATTTCACTGTGTATTATGTTTCTAAGGTCCATCTATATTGTAGCATATATCAGAATTTCATTTTTAAATGGCTGGATAATATTCTATTGTGTACACACATTGTGAATGCCTCTGATGCTGAACATCATTATACAAGTTTCTGTTTGAGTCCCTGCTTTCAATTCTTTTAGATATATGGTGGGAGTGGAATTGCTGGATCATATGGTATTATATGTTCAAATTTTTTGAGGTGCACCATTTTACTTTCCTGCAAGTAATATATGAGAGTTTCAATTTTTCCATATCCCAACATTTGTTATTTTCCTTTTTCTTTGTAATGGGGATTGAACCCAGAAGTTCAACAAACAAATAATATTTAATAATGTTATTAAATTATTATAAATAATATTTAGTAATATAAATGCTGTAATATAGTCAATAAATGCACTTCTCATAGGGATATGAATTAGAGATTCTGAAACTATATATGTACTAAAATTGCACATAGGTAAATGTATTTTAGATAAGAACTCGGTGTCTTATAAATAATGAAAAGGGTAACTAAAATAAACTGTACTGGGTGGAAATTTGAGATAGTCTGTATATGTGTGGGTTAATATGAATATATGTATTTCCTAACTGTGTCCACTGAGAGGGACTAGAAGCATTAACTAACATCCCAGTAGTAATAAAGAATCCTTGCACCCACGTTTGTCTTCTCTTTTTCTTTCCTTTTTTATTTTTTGAGACAGGGGTCCCGCTATGTTACCCAGGCTGGCTTCCTGGGCTCAAGCAGTCTTCTTGCCTCTCAGTCTCCTGAGTAGACTTTTGTTTCTAAACACAATTCTCTAATAAAAGGAATCAGAGCTATTTGGGGAAGTGGTCAATTCCAGGACTGGGACAGGGAAAATACTAGGAAAAGCTGGAATATCATGAAGTATGCATGAAAACAATGAAACGCTTTAAAAAAACATTTCAGGGCCAATATTGTTGAAAGAATATGGGAG